AAATCTCACCACAGCAGGCGTCCATTTTCTCAATCTTTTCTGCTAAAATATGGTATTTGAGATAGAACGTCAGCAAATATACTCGCACAATCTTGAACACCTTCACCGATGCCAAATGGTAAAACTGTATAGCCCAAACAGTCTATTTGAATGCCATTCGCTCCCAAATTTTACTAGCCCACTGGTGCTGCACACGGTCGTGGATGGATTTCCCCATGAAACTATGTCAAACAAAACGGATAAAAAATCAGTTTTTACCTATATCCAAAAACTTACAGTCATCCTCGGACGGATCGTCTTCACAGAGCTCTTGTCACGTAAAATGCGACGAATAACAGAGTGTATATGAACAATAATATTTGTTCTACAACAACGCGATAGAGACTGATCTTTCGGTTATAGCATCTTTGTGTTACAAGCGAAAAGCTTCATTAAAAATTTATGCAAGTGCTTATGTGGACTTCACAAGACAAAGCAAAACGCAAGGTCGCACCGTTACGGGGTAACGCCTATAACCAATAAAGCGTTAAAACTAGACCAAACGGACATCAGTTAGTATTACCGACAAATTTACGCATACTAATAACCATTCATAGCAAACCGAAGAATGGGAACTTTTGTGATCGATACATTTTCAAATACTGGGCTGTATAACCTGACGTTAAATGAGAAAAAAACACTGGAAATGTACATGGTCCAATAAAAAAATGGTGAAACATCCAAACATTAACAAAATATTCCTCACCTATGCATTGGTCGTACTCGGGGATTCTGTGTGCCATGACACGAGCAACTGAAACAACATTGAATAACGTGGGTACAATACCAATAACATCCTGGAAGTATCAATAAAATAACGCAAAATGTTTGACGAAGGTCATTTTAGTGCTTACGGAGACTAAACGCAATTAGCAAGATATATTTTGGCATCAATCTCCGTGTGTGAAAATTATGATGTTTTGTGTTCGCTTCGCTTAGCTTCTCGTGCTATTTATTGAATTGGGTAACCTTGACTAACTATACCGTTATGTGGTTCGTCTAGATTTGACGGTTGATTTGAACCTTCCATCGGTACGTAAAGAAACACCAACAGTTAGCCAAGGAGCCAGCGCCCGATCCCTTTCATTTCACGTGCCGTGAAATACATTTGACCAAACATTTTGTCTCATTGATGTGCCATGCTACGGGGAAAATGAAACTGTTTCATGTAAACTGTAGCGAGTGATATTTGAATACACCGAAACCCGAACATGTGTCTTAATAGTGGTGAACACGAAATTACAACAATTCTTCTGCCAAAATATTCCAGATTGCTTTCGCGAAGCCAACAGAGATGTGCGTTTAGGACGATCCTTGCTAATGAACGTTTTAGTGGTTGCTTGTCCTCAGAAAATTTTAAATGAATAACATTCTGATCAAGGAGAGTTGACGTAGGGCTAGTAAGGATACAAATGTCTTGTAGTCTGTTTTTTGCACTAAAACAGCCCTTGTTATCAAGCATTTGGCATGGATGATTAAACTATTTGTTCATTTTTGTATCGCTGAAGCCCGATGTGTCATTCGGACAAAATTCGTAATAACACTTATAGGGATTGAAGGTCTGCAAGTGACAGGGATTTTTCACCGCTCTGCAATTTACGTTTATGTATTTCTGGTAAGCGCCGGATATGTTTTGAGTCTACAGAACGCTCGAAAGTATAGAACTAGAAAATCATGCTCCCGGATGTTCAATTTCAATTGATTGAACATCCGTAATTTTGTATAAGAATAGGTATTTATTGACAAATAGTTATTCGAATAGTAAAGCTTTCTCAGCATCCATTCGGGCGCTGCATGTTCTTTTGTTTATGTGTGTATTTTTGTTGTCTTATTAGGAGTGCTTATTCGGAGGGGTGTAATCAGTATTGCGGAGTTAAAATTTATCTGAAGGGAACGTTTTTATTGATGTTTTCATTTAACCTCACTCTGTACCAGAAAAACTTTCGAAAACAGCTAAGCTGCACCTAGCAGCTGTATATCAATCTTAAGATTTATTTGCTCGTTGTAAAGGATCTTCATGCGACAGCTCGCATGAAGATAAAGCCGGTCAAATATCAGTCAATGGAACGCACTGATTTAAATCTCATGCGACGGCTTGGATGCCTCATACGCAGTTGTCCTTTCGGATATCTTGTTTCTAACTGGCCCAACGGCAAGTTCGAAACTGAGATGTTGCATCTCGCGTCATCAGCCAAGACTTGCAAGTAATCTCAGTTACTGCAGACTTGCACCACATCAGCTTCAGAGAAGAGTTTGTTGCAAACAATTTTTTACCCATCAGCATATAACCAATTTCTACTGATATCATCCTTGTCTAGCCCTTTATATTTCATCGCTGCTGTGTGCCAACGTCTGTGTTTCATTGTTTCGTTCATTGTTTTCAACACCATCCCAACACTTGCCTCATAATTCCTAGCCGATTGCACTGAACAAATTTCTCATTCTCAGCCGATAGCTTAGACGCGTAATAATATGTCCCATTGCGTCACTAGAGTTCCTCCTACTGGTCCAAACTTATCACGAATGACTTTCTGCTCTGGGCTGAATGTGTCCCAATGACTACTGTGATGGAAGTTGGGAAAATAATCTCGACAAAACAAATGTCAAACATCTACCGACATGTGCTGCTTGTCGTCAATGGGCGTCCTGGCAATTTGGTTCACTCGATCAAAATATTTGGGAAAATGTGCTCGAGAAAAAACTGATGATACTTTGTCTTTTATTTCAAACTCCATCCTGTTAGCAAGCACAAATTCAAATTGAATTTTTTTGCACTTAAAAACCATTAGTAAAACCGCCCGATGCATTTCCATAGGGCGAAACCCATTACCGCTATTTTCAACTAAATTATTTTCCAGGGATATGGATAGTGATATGGATAGACTGAAGATCATAATTTAACATTCTCGTGGATTTTGCTCGTGGATTCAATGTTTATTCTGAAAAGCACAGTAAAATATTCCGTCGAATAATTTTCTACTTCACGGTTTGAAAATATTTCTTATTCGTAGAATAAACCTTCTTACGCCAAAACCATCGCGACAGCATGGAACTGCGCTCATGTACCACAAAGACACAATCGTACAACGTTTCATCAAATTCTCATGAAGCACATAGTAAACCTGCTTTAACAAGGCGTCTCGTACTTCCATTACAAGATAACGGACAATTTTATTCTAGTACAAGACGGGAAAATCCTCTCGAGATTATTTACACGCTATATATATACCGTTTTACCGGGCACTGAAATCGCAAGCACCATAACTGATGAAGCCCTTTACTACAAATTTATGAAAGGGTTTTGGCCCCTTGGAACCAGCACAGCGGGTTAGGTATCAGAAAAGTGAGCCCCATTATGAACGTGTCATATGACACGTTATGAAAAACAATAAAAAAGCTTCCACTCAATCAGCAAGAAATCCACTCCCTTGTTACCAAAACATCCCAGAATGCGGAAAAATTGGGAAATTGGCCTCTCGTAGAATATGTTCTTTTGTCAGTGCTGCAAGACGGGGCTCCTAATTTCGAATACACTTTGAGCTAAACTTTTTAGTTGTAACTTGGTCGCTTGTTAGGTTGCATGTGGCAAACACCCCTCAATGTTCAACAACTTGCGTGTAGTGAAAAATCGCACTTCAGTCAGGAATACTGGTGAAGAATTACTGTGTTTCATTAGCGGGAATGGGATTTGCGTTTAATTGGGGATAAAGCAAGTCCTTATCTTGCTTCGTTCAAGCAAATGCCTTCAAGGTTTTATATGTCTTACCACATAAACAGAAGAATGTGTATTTGCCCAGACACAATGACAAATTTGCCACGGGTAGAAAGGTTCACTTTGCCACGTGGAACTGCTGACTTGTACACGCATACAAGTATTTGGTGGACAACTTGGAATTGCTAAAACTGTGGCTAATTATTCCACTCAACTGGGATTGAAGATCTAATCGCTCGCTTTTGCACGTGAGCAAGAAACAAAGCGCCTATGCCATGAATAATTATTCAGAATTAAGAAAAAACGGTGTTCAAAAAGGCATTGAATCAAAGATAAATGGGTTTAGTTGTAAGACACGACGGCGTTTGAGAGCGTTTGAAATAATGCACGTCACATGCTCTTGAATGTCACGAAGGGTCAATATTATTGCTTGGGGATGTTTTAGCTTACAGTAGCTGATTAACTTGTAATATTTAACTGTCAATTCTTCTGCCAGGTAGAGATAAATTGGAATAATGTTTATTATGTGCTTTTCTTTGCGAAGAAGGATTGAAGGTAAACAATTGGTCGGTCCTTTACGGGTAATTACGGATAACTTGAAAATGCATTTGATTCTCATGCATGCAATAGAGAATTCAAGGAATGCACAGATTATTCGATTAGGTTAGCAGTTGGACTACACTATCCAGGGCTTCATGAACGTTTCAATACGCAAGCTGACAAGATACGTAAACACGGTCAGCGTGCCGCCTCACAAGACACATTTGGGTTCTCTAATCTGTGCGCTGTGTAAAACAATTGAACAACCATAAGTGCTTTAGGGATCCACATAACCCATTATAGCGAACCCTAAATTTAACAAAATCGATGAAGGATTTCTACACGGATTACTGAAAAATAACCAGTAACCAAAGCTCGTGAACTATTCACCAGGTGTTCCATGCAAGAACTTCAATAGGGAGATAATTCCGCTTCAATGACCCGAGGATGTACAAGACGATCCAATCGCGGGAATAAACCCTGACAAACTTTATTCCGACTGACTGGAACAAACTACGAAACAGATAAAAGATCATCATCGCAAACCAAATGTGAGTACGGACTATAGAAAATAATACGGTCTCACACGTCCCGCTGCTCCACAAACTCGAGTCTTACGGAATTCAAGGGAAAATCCCTCGCTGGATCGAGGCGCTCCTATCAGACAGATCATTCCAAGTGAGAATAGGGTCCACCTGTCCCTCTCCAGCGCCGGTCTACATTGGAGTTCCTCAATGCTCCGTCTTGGGACCACTCCTGTTTCTGATCTACGTCGACGACCTCCCAGGCATTCTTGCGTGTACATGTTTACCTTTTGAGGACGGCTTGAAATCCTGGAGTTCTAATGCCAGTGCCCTCCAAATGGGAGCAGACGCTGCCAAGCAGTGGTCGTTGGATTGGTACCTTCCTCTAAATGATAAAAAGTGCATCCATGTGTCGTTTGGAGGGGATTTAGCGAATGCCTTTGTTATGCATGGTGAAAAGGGACCAGAAAACATCATCAGGGTAGATGCCAAAAAAAATTAGGCATCTGAGTCTCCTCAAACTTTTCCTTATCACTACACCATGAGAAATCGGCCCAAAAGGCATTCGCCATTTTACGGATGATCCGACGCACCTTCTCCCGTATTACTCGCATGGCCTTCCAAATACTCCATGGTGCCTACGTCACACCGATCCTGGAGTACGCTAACCAAGTTGTCTACTCAGGACGTACGAAAGACGTCACCCTCATTGAGCGTGTCCAGCTGGCCGACACGATAATGGTTGCCGGCCTCAAATCCGTCCACTACGAAACGCGTCTCGCGATGCTTGGTCTCTTTCCCCTGGAGTACCGTCGCCTCCAAGGGGACCTAATTCTTAGTTGCGCCTTGTGTGAACAAAGGTTGACGAGCAGGTTTTTTCACCGTAGACCTAGCAAACACCCGGCGGGGACATAGGAAGAAAATTTTCAAGCTCAGGGCACACACATTCATTAGACAAAACTTTTTTTCATTTCGGGTAGTAGCTGCGTGGAATGACCTCCCTCCGACGGTTGTACACGCTCCTTCAGGAACATAATTTAAAACATTATTAGACATTTATTTATGCGAATCCTCGCGCTGGCAAGCATACTGCCCGCGCTGAGAACATGAAGAGCAGTGCTACACCTTTTTTTCACTTGAGCCTTGCAGGTGAACGACAACCACCGACCGAAAAGAACAAAACCGACTCGGGAAACTTGGGCAAAAGCCTCGATCCTGTGTATCAATCCGTGAATCCTTGAATCCGTGAAAACAAGCAAATAAGGCTACTAAACCTACCACAAATGATTTGCTTGTTACATTATTCGGGATATCGCCAAAGATAAATTAACACCAAGCATGTTGGCGCAGTTCTGGAGTTTCCTTCAAAGTTCACTTCCACATGATACGGAATTGTACGAAAATATCGAAAACTATTATCTGCTGGGAATTCGTTCCCGGAGACTCACCGTATCCAGCTGGATCTCAAGTTTATGATGCCTTGAGCAACACACTGCTCAACCAGGCTACATAATATGGAAGATAATGTCGTGGAAGGCTCGGAAACCCAGCGCACCTGATGAGCCTCAAGAGGTTGAAAGTTTGTGTGGGCGGTCGCAAGACTTTTAGCAAGTTTAAGAATTGTCTACTTCGTCCACCATGTATCACGATATCTTTACAATCGTAATAAATCTGACTGGTGTGGCACATTTGGTTCTTTAAAAATATCATTTACGAGAGATCCATGTGTGTTCTGAGTAACTTCAAAAGCCAAATGTCCTCACAAAAGAGCGCATGCCGTCTATATCATTCAAGCTTGCATCATTCAAAGTTTTGATGGAAACTGGAGGCCCATGCCCACGCGATGAACCCCAAGACGAGAGAAACCGGCTAACCTATTAGTACTCTATCACGCTACAACTTCTCAATCTATTTGAGCGGGATTTTCGGGCTTGGTTTTCAAACTAAAAAACCATATAAATTCGTGGGTTGATTCACATTCCTAATCCGATAATGTGCACTTAATTATCAATGTAATCACACATTTCCTTTACTCCGCCCGAGTGTATCGTCTTTTGGCTTATGGTTTTCTTTAAACTGGATTTTACGCTCAATTGAATACGTTTTCGCGGACGGCTTGATTCGTGCATAAATTTGAGCAAAATCTTTCAATTATCGTTTGTATACCCTAAACTAACTGCTTGGAGAAACGTCCTTCTGACGTAGAGCATGTTAGTAAAAATAGTGACCGGTACGCGTGGATGCATTTAGGCGACCGACAATTCGGCAACGGATTTTCGTAATCTATGTGATCTTTTGTCATTCGTTAAATCTGATCCATTCTGATCTGGAGTTCATTTTTGCTGCGTAAATGCAATCATGCTAGGCTATTTGCATTTTTTACTTACAAAATGTAAGTATTTAATAGCCGTCAACTTTTCCGCTGAGATACATTTCTATGCGTATGCCTCCGTCAAATATGCGGGTCTGACATGAATCAATTCATTATTAACCCTTTGAATGAGCGTGTAGACTGAGGTTATACGAAGCACGATTAACTTCATTTTCCTGCATTCGTTTGAATACACCGGAAGGTGACCAATGCGTTATGTCGGAAACGTACCGAAATTGAAGGTGAAATTTGCTGGGACTGGCTTCATACAGACCAGGAGGATTTAAATTTTTTTGGCTTTCCGTAATGAATTTAAAATTTCAAAAGACCTATCGCGGACGGATGTTAACGCCACAATAACGAATCAAGAATAAGTGAAATCATGTTGTTTTGCTAGCCACGTCGCGCTAGAGGAAAGACATCGCAATCTACTGCAAATACAAATGTTGTTGTCCATCGTTTTTTTCAAAGCGCCTACGCATGCTGTGAACAGGCACGCACACTGAATCGTAAATCGCGCATTTGAAGGACATAATTACTAGTATAAAATAGGGCAAAGCAGATGAGATGCCACACGTAATACTTTCCCATTTGTGAATCTTTGACCAACAGAAATTATGCTTGTAACTTTGGTGTTTTTCGCCATTTCTCTGGGTAAGTTATTTAGAGTGCGGAAGAAAAGAACGTTTCGACATACATTACGCCAAATTTATGTGTTTCGAATCTGTGTTTCAGGCGGAATCGTCTTGGCAAGGAGCATCCCGCAATATGATTTGTGCATAGGTGGGCCGAAATAATTTTTCTTGTTCTAAGTTGAAATCAGGTTTTCTTAAAACTAAAGTGGCTAGATGTTACCGATTGGGATGATAAATATACAGAAAAACTTTTGTTTGAATAAGATACGTCACTGGATAAAATTCTAAGCCTAATCCATTTTGACAAGTCGGATGTGAACAAACTTGAGAAATTTCTCGTCTTGTTCTTTAGGTTGCATTTCATGCACAATGAACGGTGAAATTTGATTAGAGTCCGGCCTTTTGTTGACGAATATCATGCAGTGATTGAACGACGATAATATGACAATGTTTGACGCCCAGTTGACAACTTCTTCTCGAGCTGAAACTCACTGCCAACTTCATTTTAACAGAAGCGTGCGGGGATGATCCGCATGAAGACGACAGTGAGTCCGAAGATACCAAAATGCCTTGAACTGCAATACAGCTAGATATGCTTATGAAATGTATATCCTGCCTATTGGGACCCACATTTTATAGCACTAAGCTGTGAACCAACATTCCATTTAGCAATATTGAAACTCACAAAATCCAATTAAAATGAATATGTTAGTGGCGAAATTCGTTATGAAAACGTTAACGATTATATGACATATGCAGTGCACACCACAAATACAAGGTTTTCCCGAATTATTTTGCACTATGGCGTGAAACGAAGCAGATAAAATCATTTTACAACACCACGATGCTTCGATTGATGGCAATTCTTGAAACTAGAGAGAACACGGATTCAGTTTCTTGGTAAAATGAGATTCATGGCGTCCGGCAATTGTTTAGAATTGCAAAATGGACTTTGTGTTGGCATCCAACAAAATTTTGTAGCGTAGAGTTGCGTTTTCACAGGTATTGGCATCCAAGCGATGCGTGAAATGAATTTTTGCGTTGCAGTCTTGGCAGTTGCTGAAGTGGATAAGTGTCGGGGTAAGTTTGTAATCGTTCTCTATGGTGTCATCTATATTTCGATTCTCAGCCAATCATAAAAGGACAAGTCGATATTTTAATCGTTCTGCAGCTTTTTGTTTGCTGGCTTCTTGAATATACGACGTATTCCAAAAACAAATATAATGACCCCATACTAAGCGGGTCACGTGGTTTACAATAACCCAAATAATATTTACATTTCCAGACAAATGCGACATAGAAGAAAGAGACCGTTGCGTAGGTATGTGTGAATATTTAACCTTCAGCGCGCAGTCAAAATCTTTACCACTTTTGACAGCTGTGTACTGCATGTTTGAATTCGTGGAAGAAGTTCGCATTAGCAGGTAGTTGATTCGAATACTACTTCTGAGTATCTGTTTCTGTAAATGTCATGCGCTTAGCGTGTTGCTAGCGCAAATCCACCACATTTTCTTGTTGGAAATATGCTTTGCCAAATGTTGTTATTTTAGCAACATAAAAGGCATTTGACCTAGCACAAATTTAAGCCTGTAGCTATCTCCGATTCACCTGCATTGTAAAGGTCCTAACAATACATCGCCCAAAAAAATTGCTATTTTCAGCGAAAAACGGCAGCCTGAGTTTTGCTTTCGATTACGTTTTCAGACAAAAACAAGGATAACGCTGACCAGATACGTGAGTCACCCTAACTGATGTCACGACACATTTTCTAATTTAGTGCTGTAATTGGAGGAGCTACAAGTTGCGAATATGCACTGTGACTGCAGCGAGAAGTAAAATTGCGAAATATAGAGAAGCATGAAACGTGTTTGGATTTTTTACCAAGGCTCCCCTGCCAAATATGACAGCGGGATGTTAATTGTACTGCAGGAAAAAACAGGCTTCACAGAGAACATTTTGGGATCTCCGGGCACACGGGGCTAGTTGCAGGTATTCTGATACTAACTTGCGACGCAAATCGGTTGTAATATCTGCCAATTTGCGAGGTATGCGAGGATATAACTTGATTAGCTTGACGTGATGAAGAACAAACATCCATAACAGTTGACGTGATTCAACAACTTTGAAAAGCACGCGATTACTTCGAAATTTCTATGTAATATTCGTATTGAGAAACATTTTATTGATTTTTGTTTTTGTTTTTTATCGTAATCATGCGTTTTTGTGCCATGCCAAGAAAGAAAGGAAAACTAGTGCGATAATTTGACCATTTGCCAGGCAGATATAATTTCGACTCGTCTTATATTCCACAATCACTTCATTGGTCCTTTTGCTGATTCATAAACCCGGCAGTTTAGTTGGGCTCCCTACAAACCTGCCGTTCATTTTATGTGTCTGCCGCATTATACAGGTAAATGCTATAATGAGGCACTTGACCGCTGCGCTGGTGAGTTCCATCAATGACAACCAAAAGCGCAATCTACTTAGCGAACATGC